CCCCCCCCCCCTGTTAACTTGAACAAAGAGGCAGGAGTTTATGGCGCTCAGGTTCTTATTCAATAAAAAAATGGGGGCGAAGAAACCATCAAACGTCTTGTTTTTGGGTGCTCAAGTATTTCGCAAGTTGCAGATGGTTGCAGTGGATTTGATTTTGGTTTGGCCTTTATTTGAGTTATTAATATTTAACGGCTATAAAATATATTGGACTATTCAAAAATTTTAAGTCCAAACATGAAATAATACGTTAAAAAAGATAACTATGAAAAAATTTAAGAAATATTTATAAATTACATCACAATAAATATTTTTATGTACAAAATATTTTTAAAACTTATGTATATCCAATATCGGGTTGGTTTGATTTCGATTTGATTTTTTTATTTAAAATTAAGCTAAACCAGTTATGATCTAGTTTTTTCTCCCAACAACAAACCAAATCATAGTCGGATTTTTCTCCGGTTTGACTTGGATTATCACAAACTTCAATTTTTCGGTTTCCTTTGTACACCCCTAATCGTAATAAGAAATTGGCAAAAAAAAAAATAGTATAAAGATGGCCAAAATGAATCAATAAATCAACATGGCATTACCTCCAGATTTTGCCTCACTTGGCTAGTTTTGGAAAAATTCATAGCTGCTCAATATTTTGTAATGCTATATCTCCTACTTTTCATGGATCTGATTGATCCCTATGGGACTTCGAATGTTGTAATGCTACTTAGCTTTAGTTAAATAATATCTTTCTTAATCAAAAAATAAAAATAAAAAATGATGGTTGATAGTCTCTTAAGTTCCATTTGTTTATTGAAATGTCACAACTCAAAGAGTAAGATGTCCCTGAATCTTAACATTCACATTGTTTAAAGTATACTAAAAATCTCATTAAAGACATGGCAATTTCCTTTGAGAGTCATACAATCATACATTATGCTTTGAAGAGGAGCCTTGGCGTAACTGGTAAAGTTGCTGTCATGTGATCAGGAGATTAAGAGTTCGAGCCGTGGAAACAATCTATTGTAGAAGCCGTGGAAACAACCTATTGTAGAAATGCTGGGTAAGACTGCTGTGGATCTTGTGGAATTGACCTGTTTATTCACATTTACGTGACTGAAATTAAATGCACTCTTCAAGATCATGGATCATTGGCATTATTTTGCTAACTTGCAAGAATCCAACAGAAACTTTAGCTTCTAAGATCATTATTGATAGGTCCACTGAACTAATAAGCAAACATGGTTGAAAATTTCAAGTCTTGTAGAAACAATAAACATTTTATTATCTTTTCCTTATGCACATTTAATGATCAATCAAAGAGAAAGTCACAATCTATCCTAGTGAATGATAGCCTCATGCTGTCAAAGTCAAGGCTGATATAAAAATATTGTTGTGACCAAACACCTAGTATGCTAAAAGGAAGCTTTTCTCTTTCAGATATTTTTACCGACAGGCAGAAATGGTCATTTCTTGCCTTGTGAAACAAATTTTCAGCTGTCAGCTCCATATCTGCATTTTCAGCAAAATGTAATGTTATCTTTGGGAAGTGTTGAAGATCGTGGTTGAAATCTCCATAGTAGCACAGTTGTTCCGGACCTTTGGCAACTTCTTTCAATGTTGTACCTATCACAGATTTAATTTCCTCCTTCAATTTCTTGAATGCTATCTCAGGTAAGTAAGTTGAAGTTGCTCCACTGTCGACAAGCATTCCACCATTGTAATCGATCCTCTTGAATATACTCGGGTCGATGTCAAGAAACTTGTTCCCAACACTGATTCTTTCTAAATTTATATAGTATTTTCCCAGAACCATAAACATCGGAGTGGAGTTTTTTTCAATTATAGGCTTGTCTCCCAAAACTAGCGCGNTATAGGCTTGTCTCCCAAAACCAGCGCGTTTGAGTCATAATTCACATCACTTATATTACCAATACAATATGAAAATCCAGTGTAATTTTGTTGAGAAACCAATGAAACAGGTCGCTGTCCAAGTCCAAGAACTCCACTGCAACCATCTGCACCTAGAGAAATACTTGAGCATCCGAAAACAAGACGTTTGATGGTCTCTTCGCTTCCATTTTTTGATTGAAATGTCACGACTTCAGAAGCAAGATGTCCCTGAGACTTACCTTTCACATAGTTTAAGGTATAGTCACATCTCCTCGAGAAACCACATGTGCCTTTAAGAGTCATAAAATCACACATAGATGTCTCACAATACACATCTTCAACATACGATGAAGAATCTGCATTCTGGTATAATGGAGCTGGTGAGGCTTCACCGCCAATGGTGAACCCACATTGGACCCAAAGTAATATACTGCCTGTGTCCATGATAAGAATTTGTGCCACGGGAGGTGTGCCAATCTTTAATGGAATAAGAAACTGAGCGCCATAAACTGGGTAAATTTGAACTTCAACGACATCTTTTTTCAATACATTTGAGACAACAACCATCAGATCTGAAATGCGAGCTTCTGATCTTTGGTTCATTTTTCTCACACGGTCTTCATGTGTGAGTTTTGGATTATAAAAAGGCGACTTGATTGATTCATAATGGATCATTTTTATAACAACCCTACTTTTCTTGGTTTCATGATAGGATGTGAAATTGGATGTGGTTAAATAAGGTTGTAGCAATAATAATACTACAAGAAACAATTTCACCATTTTGAGAAACTAAAGGGAGAGCTGTTGAGCTTTACTCTTTTCTTTTACTTTGAAAACTATAGAGAGGGAGAAAGAAATAGGCCAGTACATAGAACAATGTGATAGTTTTCTTTTATACAGTAAGCAATTCTTTCTTGTCAGTTGGAACTTGGAATAAGAGCATTGTTTCAATGAGTTAACTCCTAATTAACAACTTAAACACAAGTATGGTGTTGTCACCAAACATATTGGATCACATATTTTGTGTACCCACTGTTCATTATAAGTTGATGATCACAGAAAATTGAAGGGAAAAAAGAAAATAATGGAAAGAGCACACACTTGGTTTGTCCAAACTTTGTTAAACTTGTAATGCTAGTGAGCACACGAGTTCTGCCCCTTCCCTATGGCCTAGGGCTTCCTATGTTCCTCTCTTCCTAGATATGATATACTACAGCTACTAAATTTTTCTTTATTTGAACTACTATATAGTACATCTTAATATTTAGGGTTTAAAGTCAATTAAAATTTTACATTATATAAACTATCTTATTATTTGAGCAGGTAAATTCGATAATAATAAATGCAATTGGCCAATAGTTAAAGGTTTTAAAAATTAAAATAAATTGACAAAAGCACGTCAAATTATCAAATCCGACATATGGACAAATAATGAGTCCGTTTGGATTAGCTGATTTGAAGTAGCTGATAATCATTAGGTACTGAAAAGTACTTTTAAGTGCTAAAACTGGTTTAATAAATAAGCAGTTACGTGTTTGGGTACAAGTATTGAAATTGATAATAAGTTGCTACAATACTTGATAAAAAAAGTGCTCATAAGCTTCTTTTCTGTTAAAATAACTTAAATAACCTTAGAACTGTGCGTAATTTCTTCAAAATTTTAGATTCCAGATCGATTCAAATACAAAATATTCTATTTGTTATTTTATTTTAAATACAAGTGTGTGTAGATCAAATAAATTTTATGATAAATATAATTTATTTTATGATAAACATATAATCATAAATTATAATAATAAATAAATTGACAAAAGTTTCTCACTAAAAATAAACCTTAAGAGGACAACATATTTGAAGAAAAACAAACATTGTCTTCATCGCCACAACACTTAGAAAGCAATACACCAAAAATTTGATATGTCCTCATTTATTACATACAAATTAAAGATTAATACACAATCATATAGAGNTGATATGTCCTCATTTATTACATACAGTTCAAAGATTAATACACAATCACATAGATACAAATATGCAAAGGAATAGAGAATTTGTTTATCTTAAATAGTCAATGAGAATTGTAGACTTAAAGAGGCGGGGGGATTTAGGTTGATAAAATACTTGAGGCGGTGAGTATCGATGTAGGAGTTTTGTTTTAAATGAATATTTTAAGGATAAAATAGTAAAAAATTTGGTCAAACTTAAAGTACTTATAAACTAAAAATTCATAAGCTAGGGGTGATTTTGACTTATTTTTTATTTATAAGTACTTGACTTATAAACACTTTTAACTTTACCAAACTCGTAGATAAGTCGAAAAGTGCTTATAAGCCAGTTTGACCAGCTTATAAGCTTAGCCAAACACCCTCAATTTCGTAGTAAAGATAAAATTGGACACAACATCTTGGATTTAAAACTTACACAAATTTTTACATCCATGTACACTACTTGGGATATTTTTCCCTTTTTCATAATCATGTTCGTTGATACTTCAAATAACCTTAGAGGGCCCCAGATACATATCCTAACAACATATACATGTTCCATAGACATGTTCCTAGCCTCAAATCCAAACCTTAACTAAACCCTACACTTTCATTTTTGCTTCCTTTTAACAAACACAAGTCGATAATATGATAAAAGTGGAATTTTAAATAAATAAGCGGAAGTCAACAATTATATATCTTAAGGCTACGTCTATTACAACTTTTAAAATCTCAAATACCCCAAAACCTGGTATCACAGACTGTCTAAGAGTCACTACAAACAAGGCCTGAAGAAAATACAACAAACAGTTTCGGAACGAAAGAAAATGAAATAGGGAATAGAGATAGAGGATGACGCCAGGGCCCACGAACGCCTGCAGGTCTACCTTTGGTCTCCGGGTGGACTGAAGGAAGCCCTCCAACTACTGTCCGTAAGCTACTCCGGGATCTGTACATAGTGTAGAGTGTAGTATCAGCACAACTGACCCCATGTGCTGGTAAGTGTCTAGCCTAACCTCGGAGAAGTAGTGACGAGGCTAGGACCAGACTACCAAATAAACCTGTGCAATTTAAATATATACAGCGGAAAGGAAAATGCAGAAATAACCAGTAAATATTGGAAGGGGAAACATGCTGTGGGAGAAATAATGGTTCCGAATAGAAAGCATTAGGTAAGGAAAGTAACAACATAACTAGAATATCATCAAGAATCAGAAATCCACAATTTGTGCGGCATCACCCTTCGTGCTTTTACTCTCGTTCTCACCAAATCAATCATATAATAACAACGTGCACGACATCACCCTTCGTGCTTTTACTCTCGTCCTCACCAAACAATATTTTATAACAAAAGTGTGCACGACATCACCCTTCGTGATTTTACTCTCTTTCCTCACCATATAGTCAATGATAATCGGTACGGAATGGTACATCGTATGGCACGACATCACCCTTCATGCTTTACACTCTTTCCTCACCATAGCAAATAATGCACGGCATCACCCTTCGTGCTTTAACGCTCTTCCTCACCCAAACAACAATCAAAAACAAAGGGGCAAGGGAGTAAACAAATAACAATAGAAATCCCAGAAAGGGAACACAATTAAACAGTTAAATCCCGATAAGGGAACAATATCAATAATCTTAGCATCCCGACAAGGGAGATAATCAACAAAGCAAAAAACATCCCGGTAATAGAACAATATCAATAATCTCAGCATCCCGGCAAGGGAGATAATCAACAAAGCAACAAACATCCCGGCAAGGAAACAATTTAATAACTTTTTCTCTTTCTTTCACCTTTACTTCATAACTCAATTTACCATTTGAGCCAATGCTCCAAAGGGTTCAATCATCTCATATACTTTCACACTTTGTAATATAACTCGAGCCAATGCTCCTCCGTACACAGGTTGTGGTAATGTATTGATGATTGAAACTGGAAAGTGTGAATGAAATAATGGTAACGTCTCCGGGAGATTTCTTAGCCGATCGGGCCATGATCGGACTCCGCTCAAAGAAGCGGTGGCAAAGTGGATAATGATGCAATAGTGTGGGATGCTCCAATCTAAAATTTCAGAAACTATGTGAAAATTATGTGAACCTCCTTATATTATTGACATGGTGCTTATTTGAAACTTTGTTGTCTTTATGATTTCCTCTTTACTCTTGTATGAAAGTTCTTTCTAATTAGATGGTGTTTAGTTATACATACCAGTGTTATTCGATGGCACTAATGTCCCTTTTGCCGAGGGCGCTATGTCTTTAAATGGATGTAGGTGTTTCTATTGCAGGCAGTGTTGGTCGCAGCTAGTGCCGCATCATCCTTTCAGCTGACTTGGTGGGCCCCACTTCATTTTGGGGTCCTGTTTCATTTGTTTATCATGTACATTGTATTTGAGGTATAGCCAGAGCCTTGTTGCCGGCATTTCCATATTACTCTTCAGTTGTATTTAGAGGCTCCGTAGATAGGTTATAGGAAGTGTCGGGTATTGGAATTAAAGTAAAAATATTGGGGGAGGGCCACCAGTTTGTTCTAAGATTTACCTGCGTACCCAAACCTTGCTGAAATTTCTTCCAAAAGTTGGCAGTGAACTGAGCCCCTCGATTTGAAATGATTGAGACTGGAGTGCCCTGCAACCTGACTATTTCTTTGATATACAACAACCGTTCTACTGTGTTAGTAGATCTAACTGGCAAGAAGTGTGTTGATTTCATGAGTCGATCCACGATCATCCAAATTGAGTCGAACTTGCGCGGAGTGCGCGACAACCCTACCACAAAATCCATGTTGATCATTTCCCATTTCCACATTGGAATTTCTATGCGTTGAGCTAATCCACCAGGTCTTTGATGTTCAGCCTTCACTTGCTGACAGTTAGGACATCTAGCCACAAGGTCCTCTACATCCCTTTTCATGTCATTCCACCAATAAACTTCCTTAAGATCATGATACATTTTCATCGAACCTGGGTGCACGGAGTACCTGGAAGTGTGAACTTCTGCCGTGATCCTTCCCCGAAGACCGTCAATATCCAGAACACATAGGTGACCTTGGTACCGTAGGGTACCATCATCCATGCCAAGGGAAAAAGTTGTGGTCTTGTGTTTATGAATCCCCTCTTTCAGTTGTGCTAACAATGGATCGTTGAATTGTTTCTCTTTCACTTCCGCCACGAGCAATGATTCAGCCCTACTGCACAGTTACCCCTCCTTCATTAGAGTCCGCAAGGCAAACTCCCAAATTATCCAACTGGTGAACCTCCCTGGCCAACGGCCTCTGATATGACTCCAAATGAGACAAACTTCCCATGGATTTTTGACTAAGAGCATCTGCCACAACATTGGCCTTTCCCGGGTGATAGAAAATATCAATGTCATAGTCCTTGAGTAACTCAAGCCATCTTCTTTGCCTGAGATTCAACTCCTTCTGCTTGAAAATATATTGAAGGCTCTTATGATCCGTGAATATATCCATATTAACCCCATACAAATAATCACACCAAATCTTCAATGCCAAAAACCACCGCCGCAAGTTCTAAGTCACGTGTCGTATAGTTCTTTTCATAATTCTTCGGTTACCTAGAGGAATAAGCGATCACCTGGCCATGTTGCATC